GGATTTGATTTGCCAGTATTTGGGGCTCATTTCTAGAGTGGGCCAGAAGGTGGGCAGATGGGCCCACACCATTCATATAAGGTATTTGGAATAAGTCTGAGCACATTCTACAGATAGCTACCACCTGCAATTACAGCCACAGAAAATCTCCCTTCCTTTTTCAAACATCCTGTGAAATGTGCTACCACCAGAGACAGCAGATACTGTGTAGAGCAAGGTTTGAAGTAGAAGTTTGAGTGAACAATGGATTCTGTAAGGCAGGATTCTGCAGCCAGTCCCATTAGGAAGTGGGCCACACAGCAGGAAGTGAGCGGCAGGTGAGTGAACGAAGCTTCATCTGTATTTACAGCCTCTCCCCATCGCTCACATTACCAGCTAAGCCCATCCCCTGATTGGGTTGGTGGTGGCATTAGATTCTCATAGGAGTGCAGGCGCTATTGTGAGCTACGCATGTGAAGAATCCAGGTGTGTACTCTCATAAACCATCCCCACCCCTACCCCGGTCTGTGGGGAAGTTATCTCCCACAAAACTGGTCCCCGGTGCCAAAAAGGTTGGAGACCACTGCCTTAGGATCAAGAGCTTTATTGCATTCGTTTCTATCCGTCACAGATTAAATCCAGCTAGTGTTACAGACACCCAGCATTACAGTGGCTCATAATGGAAGTTGGTTCTCTCCTTCAGGCCCAGCACTGCTCTTGCCCCCAGTGTCCTTAAGGACCCAGTCTGCTTCTAGTTCCTGGCTCTGCCGACCCAAGTTTGTGCCCTCGGTGTTCAGAGGGTCTCAGCAGGCTGCATGCATTTCAGCAGCAGCAGAGTGCAGGACGGGGTGGTCAAGGAAGGAGAGGGGCGCAAGAGCATCTGCAAGCTGACCCTGATGAGAGACGTACATGCACATGCCCTGGCCAGCACTCAGTCATGTGGGTTTGGGCAGGAGGCACAGGGTTTGGGCAGGAGCTGTGGTCGCTAGTTATTCACCATCTATTGGAAAATCAAGGGGTTTGTTCACTTAAATGTTTTTTTGGGGGAGTTCTGGAAACAAAGTTGTTTGGAGCTTTATCTCTGTGGGCCCGTTTCCTGGAAGGGTAAAGTCATGTTAACAGAGATAGTGGAAAAGGAGCATCAGGTGTACCCACTCCGCTTCGTGGGTGTAGTTTGGGCTCTCGGTGTCTGTACCCTTGGGAACTTGCCTGATGGCCTGGCACGTGACCGTGTGGAGTGATCCCGTCAGTGTGCGTATGAACAGTTCACAGGGAGTGGTTGTACCCGGTGTGCAGCTCATTTCATCCCCAGGACAGCTTTACTGTAAAGTAGCCCCTGTGGTCATCCTCACTGTCACAGATGAGGAAACAGGCTTACCTGCATTTCCAGTCATTGATTCAACAGATATTATGCAGCACCTGTTAGGTGCTGGATGCTGGGCTGATCAAAGGGTTCAAAACATACCAAAATAATTGTCCTTGTGGAATTGTCCTCTGTTCTAGTTTTTTTTGGAGAGAGAGACTTTTACTATAGGGTGTGTGCACTCACCAGAGAGACAGAAATCACCCTGGAGAGATGGCCACACTGCAGTCCCTTCTCCATTCTCATCTTGGGATTTTGGATATGCACACACATATGCCCAGTGTGAGTTTTAAGCCTCTGGATCCGGGACTCAAACCGTGGTTAGCCATGTGGGAGTCCAGCGATGTAACCGTTACTCCATCTGCTGGTCTCCGTTCTAGATAATTTTTCTAAATCACGTAGGTACTAGGTAGAGGTTGGTGCTGAAGAACAGGGAGTCTGACTACAGAACCTTCCTCTTAGCTCTTTGATGTGTAGAAGAACGGGCTGCTGAGCGTGGTGAGCAACGGTGTTAACACTCTGTCTCACAAGTGGCTTCATCATTGCCCTGTAGCTACAAGGCCCTGCCTGCGTGGTATCTCGTGAATGGCTTGGAGTACTCAGCGCAGGAGCTTCAGATGAGATCGTCATACCTCTAGAGTTTTCAGGAGCAGGACACTGAGTGAATGTGCTGTCCTGTGAGGCTCCGTGTGCTGAGAAGCAGGAAGAGCAAACGTAAGGAAGGCTGTATGCCCCCAGGTGGTCAAAATGATGAGATTCTGATTTACTGCCTCAAGCGTGCCATGTGTGTTAGAGTAAGCGTGTAGGTGGGAGTCACTGAGCCAAGATGGGGATTATGGACTGGGGACAGTGCTGCCTCAAGAGAGCCAAGGGCCAGGATGTCAGAAATAGGCACTCCCGAGGGAACCAGCAGTTAGTGTAATGGCTATGTCACTGGACTCCCATGTAGTCGACCGCGGTTCACGTCCCGGACCCGGTGGCTTAAAACTCAAGCCGGGCGCGTGTGCGTGTGTGCCCAGGATCCCGAGAGGAGAATGGAGGAGAAGGGATTGCGGCGTGACCATCCCCCCTGGGGGGTGATTTCTCGCTTTCTGTCTCTCTGTCTCTTTCTGTCTGTCTGGCGAGCGCACGCGCCCTACAGTGAAAATCTCTCCAGAAAAAAAAAGAAATAGGCACTGCCGGTATTATGACACGTTTCCAGGAATTAAACTACTTTTTAAAAAAAGTTATCTATTTAATTTTATTTATCATGATTATTACTTTATCATTTGCTGCAGAACACATGCACTCACCAGAGAGGGTGGGGTGGGGAATGAGAAATTAAGCCACCAGTTCCAAGACTTGAACCTCAGTCGGCCATGTGGGAGTCCAGCACCTTAACCACCATGCCACCTGCTGGCCCCAGGAATTAAATTCTTGCTTGCACCATATTGAGACTTTCTTTGCAGCTAGAATGGGAAAAATCTTTAGAGGTAATGGCTTTCCCCCCACGATCTGATGTTCAGCACTGTATCATGTACCAACCAAAGTCTCATGGTGCACCAGGGCTGTGCGTCCCTCACTTGGGAAGTACCTGTAAAGGAAGATGCTAGACTTGGGAGACCGGGTTCCGGTCTTGGCTTTGTCACTATGAAACTCATCCTCATGCCTCCTTTTCTGTGGTGTTTTTTCTTCCGTGGATTTGTAATATTCTTGACTACTGAAAGACATGACATGTTTCATGTGCCTGAAATATGTGTGTGCACACCCACACACTAAGCATGTAGTGGGTTTGCCCAAAGCTCTGGATACGCTAAACATGGCCCAGCGGGATCTGGAAACACGCAAGGAAGTATATGCCCTTGAACAAACACCTCTGGAAGCTGTCTGACCAGGAGTGAGCCTGGGGATGGGCTGATGGCCAAAGGCTTTCGACATGAAGAGCCTGAGAGGCCATTTCAGATGAACTCCCCAAGTGTCTGGTAGTCAGGTAGAGCTGGGAGGGGAGGCCCGGGAAAGCCCTGCCAAGTGCAGTGTGATCGCACGAGAAGGTTCGGGTTTGGGAGCAGGCAGTGAGTGGTGCTGTGCTTGCTAGAATTCCAGCGGGCTCCAACATCGCCCCGCTCTCGGGTAGGGTCCCTCTGGGGGCCAGGCTGAACTGCAGTCCTGGAAGGGCTGGCGTGTCTGTCTGGAACACTTGCATCCTCTGCTCACGACTTCCCAAGTGCTGGGTGACTGAAGGGTGGGAGGGAGCACCTGAAGGTCTTGATTGTTCCCACGTTGCTCGGAGTTCCTGGGTGGTGGGGGAAGGACGTCCACCAGCATGAGTGCCGGCTGCCACTGCCCTCCACACATAGCGATAAAGTAGAGCTCATTGTTTTCCTGTGGTTGGCTTTGGAATACTATGTTTCTATCAAAGCCGTTTCCGGAGGTTCCGTGGTAGCAGGTACCGGGCACTTTGCATGGGGATGGGGAGGGCAGGATCTGGCACAGACCAGAGGGAAGGTGGCACGGCAGCGAAGCAGTGCACTGTGAGAGGTTCTGGGTTTGCAGCCAGAGACCCCCTGAGCACACCAGGCTCATCCTTTGCCAGCGACCCAGGGCTGGCTGAAGCTGGGGGCGGGCATTGGGGGATCCTTTCTGGGATGCTCCCACTTTCTCTGTGTCATGGAAGAAATAAACTCTAAAATAAGAAGAGGGCCAGCCAGTGGCGTGGTGGCTAAGGGGGCTGGATTCCACATGGCTAACTGTGGGTTTGGGTCCTGGGCCCAGTGACTTGCAAAACTGCCAGGGCCCCTGTACTGTCCAAAATCCTGGCAAGAGGGAAAAACGGAGAAGGGGTTGCAGCCTAGGGTGACCATGTCCCAAGAGGGTTGCTTTCCTTTCTCTCTCTCCCTCTTTCTCTCTCTCCCTCTCTCTCTGGTGAGCACACATGCCCTCTGACAGATTAAAAAATAAGAAGGAAGGACGGAAGTACCTGTAGAACTTTGGGCTAGGAATGGCTCTTGGTAATTCAGAGGTTCTGCCCTGGTCTGGGAAGGAGGCAGGGTGTGGCAGATGTGGGGTCTGTGCAGAGGGCGTGTAGGACACCCAGGTGTTATTCAGGGACGTTCTGAACTTCACCAGGCAAGGAAGAAGCTGCCCAGGGGAGCCCAGGGCCTGTTTGCTACTGGGGAGAGGGTGCCACTGTCCACAGTGCGGGTCCTAGGGAGAGTCCCCTTCTCTGCGTTCTCCCCGGTGACCGCCAGACTAAAGCCACTGTGGGGGGTGGGGGGGAGGACCGAAGTGCAGGCGTTGGCCGCTGCCCAGCCCGTGCTGGACGCATGTCACCTCCTTAATCCTTCCTGCCCCTGCAGCTCTGGGTCAGTTCCCCATCTTCTGCCAGTGCGGATCCTGAAGGGATGCGTGTTAGCCACTGGGGCGGCAGAGCCAGATTCAAACCCCGGGGTGGTCCCCACACAGAGAGTGGGAGAGAGAGCAAGACTGCAGGCCCGTCGGGGCAGACAACGGTGGCTTCACTCTCCCGGCGGCGGTGCTGGTGCGCGGGGTGCGGATGTGGTTGCGACTCCGCGGTCGGCTCCGGCCTGACGCGGGCCTGGCCCTCGGGGGCACTCCCAGGCCTGCGGAGAGGGCTCAGGTGGACCCGGCTGACCGTAGTTTGCCCTCTCTCCTGGTGCAGATGGACCTGTCCGTGGAAACCCTCTTCAGCTTCATGCAGGAGCGCCAGAAGAGGTATGCCAAGTACGCCGAGCAGATCCAGAAGGTCAACGAGATGTCCGCCATCCTGCGCCGCGTGCAGATGGGCATCGACCAGACCGTGCCGCTCATGGAGAGGCTCAACAGCGTCCTGCCGGAGGCCGAGAGGCTGGAGCCCTTCAGCATGAGGCCCGATCGCGGGCCCGAGCTCTAGACCCGCCTGCCGCCGTCCTGGAGGCAGCGACACCATCCCGGAGGGCGCCGAGCTGGGCCTGCCAAGGAGGGTTCTGCAGCAGCTGCACAGACGCGAGCCCCCACACAGCCCGCCTGTCCTTCCCAGGGGCCTTCTCCCAGCCAAATGCACCAAACCAGTGCTCGGCCAGAACTGCAGTTGGACCATTTGAATTACCAGGAGTTCCTTAAAGAACTCTGCGTTGTGAATTATTTTTATTTTATTTAGATTTTTTAAAAAGTAGTTGTGTATATAGGCCAGTCCAGCTACCTGAGCAAAAATGTGGAGACAAAGGAGAAATATGTTCAGCAGCTCCTGCCCCCCACGGCTCCTGAAATGGTACGCAGGCTTCGGGGTTCAGTTGTAACAATAAAAACGAATTTAATCGAGGTCTCTGTGGTTACTGTTCCTATCTGGACCGTTTCTGGCACATCGAGTCTTTAACTGGGGCACTCTCTTCCTGCCTGGCCGGGACAATGGCTTTTTTGTCTGTGCCGGGTTATGGTGTCCCTGGGATGTCGTCATCAGACTCTGCACGTTCACCAGATTCCTCTGTGCTGACAGCCAAGGGCCCTCGCAGACCTAGTTAGGCCACCGCTTAGTATCTCAGCACCGGCTGGACTCGGTTTTCTGTCACCTGGTCTAACCAGCACGTGTTTTTGCTAGCCTAGTAGTTGGTGATATGGCGGCTTTGACAGGCGACCGCAGAGCCCTCTCATCCTGCAGGCATTTCCCCAGCGTGCTGGATGTCCCCAACATCAGAAACAAACACGGGCCCAGCTGTGTGGCCCACGCTGGACACTACTGCTGGGCAGGCCGCGGCACGTCAGAGGCCCAGGTTTGGTTCTCAGCCCACCTCAGCTGTGGCGGTGTGCACCTGTGGGCCCAGCTACTTGGAAGGCTGAGGCAGGGAAGCTGTAACAGTGAGACAAAAAAAAAAAAAAAAAAAAAAAGAATGGGTTTGTAACATCTGCCCTTCATTTCTAAAGAGGAAAAAAAAATTTCCGTGGGATTTTAGGAAGCGGAGGGATCTAGTGACAGCTGAGGGGCTCAGTGGTGTACTCTGCTCATCATAGCTGTTCCAGTGGAAGGAAGGATTGAAGAAGCAAAGAAATGAAATCGATGGACCAGATCCAGGCCGGCAAACAGGTGAGAGCTGAGGTTTAGAACTCACAGACGTCCCGGGGCTGGTCTGTAGCACAGTGGCCAGACATCACACTGCAAGGCTGACCCAGAGCGGAGAGGTGCCAGTCCCTGCCCTCAGACCTCCCTGACGCCAGGCACGCCTGAGCCCACCCTCGGGGCTGGCCGAAGGTGGGATAGAGTGTGGCTTCTGAACCCTTTTGGGGTGCTGTCCTCATTTATGAAAGAAATGAACGTTTTTAAAAGAAAACCTTTATTAGGGCTGGCAGGTGGTATGGTGGTGAAGGCACTGGACTCCTACAGGACCAACTGTGGTTCGAGTCCTAGACCTGGTGACTTGATTTCTCACTTTCCTTTTCTCTCTCTCTGGTCAAAATAAAAAATAATAATAACAAATGGAATTAAATAAATAAATTGTAAATAGCCTTTAGAATAGCTATAAGATTAAAATTGATTCTGCTTAATTTAGCATATCTCAGCTAAACGTTATCTGATTCTAACCTTGGATTTCAATCAGACACTATCTTGTGAGATTCTCAGAACTTAGGAGAAAATGTATTGTTAGGGCATAAGTGTGCGTGTGTGCCCAAAATCCTGAGAGGAAAAGAGATCGTGCCATTGCCACCCCCCAGGGAGTTATTTCTCACTTTCCCTTTTGTGCGCAAAAGCCACACACACACACACACACACACACACACACACACAAGCAGGGCATGAAACAACTAGATGACAAAAACATTCAAGCTGAATGAAAAAAAATCTTTTTTAATTTGGTCATAGAAAAGAAAATTAGTAGCTTCTAGTATTTTCTAACGACAAACAACAACAAAATTTTTTTCTCTGAAGCGAGGGAGTGGTTGCCTTTTGCAAAGGCAACCTTTAGATCCCATTTCTGCCTTCCCAAGAACAGATCCCTTTCTTTCCGCCTCAGGAAGGGCAGGTAGAGACAGCCAACCTGAAGAGAGAGGTCCCGGGGGGAGCCGTGAGCTGGGAATGGGGAGCTATTTCTGTAGCCTTTGTTGGGCCACAGCTGTGTGAGAGGTTTTTTGTTTGTTTGCTTTTTTTTTTTTTTTTTTTAGAATTCTATTTATTTATTTATAAAATTTGATCAAAGTGAGACAGAGAAAGTGAGAGACAAGCCACCAGGTCTGTGACCAAACTGCAGTCTGCCGTGTGGAGCCTGGCACCTGAACTCCACACCACCTGCTAGCCCCGAGAGAGGACTTCGTAATGCCTTCTGCTGCTCGGGATTTTACTGGGGCCTTAAACCATCTCCAGCTTCATCAGTGGCTATAAATCAAGAAAGATGTTCTGTAACTTAGGGACCAATTAAGTAGCTATGGGCATCCTAGGAAATGCTGTCGGGGTGTGGGGAGATGGTGGCCACGTTAATTCAATGGGCCAGCTCAATGGTGCGACAGCGCACTGCTCCGGCTTCTCCGGGTTCAATACGGAGGACAGCGGGTTCCCCACAGTCGACCTTGCACACCAGGTCCTCACGCCTGTGTGTCTGGCCGGGAAGGCCAGGAGATTGCAGCATGAGACCCTGCAGAGAGTGCTTCTCTCAATAAACATACAGAAATGACTGAATAATGCACTTCCCTGCAATGACTGGCAGGAGGCCTCCTTTGGTATATTACTTTCCATACAACTGAAGATCTACTGGGTCATGAGAAAAGTCCTGATGCATTTTTGCATAGAAATACTTCATAGAAAATATGACATGATTTTTCCAATGACCCAATAGTTCTGTCTAATCCATTGATGTTTTCCATACCGTCTTACACTATTTTTAGGTTTTTTAATGCTAAAAGAATTTTATTTACTTATTTATTTTTAAGAGAGTCTTGCTGTGTTGTGGTCCTCCTGCCTCAGCCTCCTGAGTAGCTGGGACTCTCGGTGCATGCCACCATGCCTGTCTCTAGGGTGGGTCAGACTCGAACCCATGTTTCCCATGTGGCCTGCAGAGCAGCAGGGTTAGCCAGCATGTGCTCCCGTGGCTGGGCCTCGCAATTTAATAACTGATACGGCTAGACTAGGCCCCATCTACCCTTAACACTACTTTCCCTTTTTAAAAAAATTTCAAATTGGCAGAAAAGTTGAAATGATACTACAGTAAATAATAATCATTTACTTCATCTAGACAGATAGGAAGTGGTACTTTTTTTTTTTTTTTTTTGCTGTTGGGTGCGTGCGCTCGCCAAAGAGACTGTGAGAAATCACCCCCCAGGGGGGATGGCCACACTCCAATCCCTTCTCCTCCACTCTCCTCTCGGGATCTTGGGCACACAATGCATATGCAACCGGCCTGAGTTTTAAGTTACTGGGTCCAGGACTTGAACTGCAGTCAACTACATGGGAGTTTGGCGACATAACCACCGTGCCATCTGCTGGCCCTGGAAATGGCACTTTTAAGCTACCACCATCATTGTCTGGTCTTGAGTTCCTAGAGTGTTCGGAACCCAACGACATGCTTATTTATAGCCTTCAAAGAGTGAAAGGCGAGATGTCTCTAGAGCTATAAAAATAGCTCAGGACTCAGGCGGTCCCCTCACTGCATTTAATGTGGTTGATTAAAAAAAAGCACAAAGTGAGATACCGACTAAACCCGCGAGGGCCGAGCTTCCTCGCTGTGTTTTAGCAGTTAATGGAGTGAACATGACAGAAAGCAGACCTAAGCATGGCATGGAATAATTCTCAGCCGGCTCTTCAGCTCCTTTTCTTCTTACAGAGGTTAGACATGCCGGAGCGCAGTAGGAACGCAGTGCTCCTCCATGCCGAAGCCATAAGGGAAGGTCCCAGGTTCACTTCCTGAGGCCTCCCTGTGAACGGGCATGCATGTGCCCATGGTCGTGGCTGACTGGGGGTGAGTTATGGCACAAAGTCTCTGCTGGGGAATGAATTAGAATTATTTATTATTTATTTTAAAAATTTGACCAGAGAGAGAGAAAGCAAGCCGCCAGATCCAGGACCCCAACGGCAGTGACTTTTCTCACTTTTTTTTTCCCAGAGATGAGTCTTTCACGGAAGAAACAAATAAACTTAACACCCCCCCCCCCCAAAAAAAAAAAAAGACAAAACAGGATTAACTTAGGTTTGAGTTCTACGTAGAAGGATGGTGGGCTTATCCGGAAGCAGGCGGAAGCTGGTAAGGCGCAGTGGGGAAGTGCAGGGACTGGGCAGAGTTCTAGTTTACCCTGTGTGCACGATGTCTTACAGTGCTGTCACCTTGCTACGGTGATGTTTCCCGGAATCCCTTAGAGCCGGCCGCAGAGACGGATGCACGAGCTCTGGAAGCAGGCGTGAGGCAGCAGCCCCGCTGCCCGCCCACAGTGCCGCACGACCCTGTCTACCCCTGTCTACGCTGCACCTTCCGCGTGGGCGCGGCCAGGCCCGCAGCCCCTCCGGCTCCCTCAGAGCTGCCTCGGCTTTTGCAGAGCCAGGCCAGGCGTGAGTCTGGCTCTCCTTCAGGTCATCCCAGCAGCAGGGGTGACTGCTCAGCGCTGAGAGTCCAGCAGGGTTCTGGGGGGACGGAGGCAGTCCTGGCTGTCCCAGCGTTCTCTCCCCAAGTGTCTGCCATCCTTCCCGGGCCTGCCTGGGGCTCAAGTGACGAACAAACCACTGGGCGGAGACTTTGCCCCAGCTTCTGTAAAGGCTCGAGCTTCCATCCCCCTTACTCCACATCAATCCTAGTAGTTCTCTGAATCCTGACGGCTGGGAAGCACTCCCAGTCCTTTTCCTCTTCAAATTTTACTTTTCTTTTTTTTTTTTTTAAGTTTGCTATAGGGTGTGTGCACTCGCCTCAAAGAGAGAGAGACAGGGAGGTGGGGGGAGAGAAGGAAAGTGAAAATGTATCTCCCCAAGAGGGATGGCCATGCCACAATCTCTTCTCCAATTTCCTCTCAGGACTCTGGGCATGTAGACACACATACCTGGCATGTTTTTCAAGACACCTGGCCCGAGACTCGAACCATGCAGTTGTCCATATGAGATCCTGCCATCTTAACCTGTGCCTCCTGCTGACCCCGGTCTGCTACTTTTCCCCAAGATTGGAAGCTGATTCCTAACTGAAGAGACAGTTATTCTAGATCTCTTTGTGGTTCGTCTCTCTGGGGTGTTTTAGGGGAGGAGACGGTGGCAGCCTGGAGTTGTGAAGACACCCTGGCTGGAAGTTTCTACCCATGACCTTCGGTAAGCCATTTCATTCCTTGAGCCAGTTTCCTCCTCAGTGTGAGCTAGCCAGGATGGGCTCTCAGTGCTCACTCCCAGTCTGGGGACGCACTAAACCCTTCAGGCGAGTGGCCCCAGGTCTTGGAAGGGACTTGAAATTCTGAGCTCCTAGGGACCAGCAGATGGCATAATGGTTATGTTGCTGGACCCCCACTTAGTAGACCGTAGTTTGAGTCCCAGACCCGGCGGCTTAAAACTCATGCCAGGTACAGGTAAATGCATACCCAAGCTCCCGAGAAGAGAATGGAGAAGGGATTGTGGCATGGCCATCACCCCTTGGGGATGATTTCTTGTTTTCTGTCTCTATCTCTAGCAAGCACACATTCCCTATAGCAAAATCTCTCTGAAAAAAGAAAAACAAAATAAAACAAAAACACCTGAGCTCCCAAGGGAGAGCTTCTTTCCTTCCTTTTAATTATAAATGAGACAGGTGTCCAGTGGCTTGTAAAACCTACTCACTGGTTATCGAGCTCGGTTTTATTTATGAACACTGATGGAGATGCCTACACTGCAGGCCCTTGGTTTTTAACTGGCTGAACCTGAAGGTCACTAGAAGTTGGTCTTTGCCCCTGTAGACATATTTATACGCACATAACACATGAATTGTGGAGTTAAGAGCAAATGATAGTATTGATTTTATGAAAGACTTTGTAACTGTTTTATAGATTTCATGCCTTTGTTTCCCTTAAAGTTTTATCATCCTTAGCGACTACAAATTATTATATAAATCCATATGAGCATCACACATGAATTGCTGGTTATACTAGGAAGCAACTATTTAGTTCCAGTTTATTTTTCTGAGTGGTTTGAAGCGTGTGAATAGTGCAGTTATCTGGGAACACGTAGGCTCTGTAGCCATCACATTTGAAGGGAAGGTACCTGTTTGGTATGTCAAAAAAAAACCCAAATGCAATTTTACTGTAAATTACGAAACCACACTGACAGCTCCTCCAGGGCACTCCATTCTTCTTACTGGAGGAATGAAGATTAGGAGGAAAAAGCAAAATTACATGTCATGATTAGGAGAAACCGTATATTGAAAAAAAGCCACAAGAAGGAACATTTTCACCCTCCCATATGCAGTAGCAACATTTTAAATACTTTCCTACAAAGTTCTAAGTGAACAAATCGGGAAGACCAAGTTCCCCGTCAGCTGGAATCTCAGTAATCTCAGTGCGTGTTTGCTTGTGGCGCTTGGGACTGAGGACCCTGCTTTTGCCTGGGACTTACTGGGGGAAATGGCAAAGCTAAGTCCCCCAAATCAGCGTGAAAGTGGCACGTGTCAGCCCCTGGGCCAGCTTCTGTGACCTGGGAAACGGCAAGGCCTGTAACATAAGGGCAGCATTGCCAGCTTCTTCCAAAGTCTGAGGAAAAGCAAAGAAATGGCCAGAGAGCACCAGGTAGGTAATTACAGAAAGAATTCAAGTGTACTCCTAGAAAGGGTCTTCCTGAAGTCCACAGAAAATGTGTATTTGGATAAAAACTATGTACGCATTTCTACCTTTTTTACATCGAAATAATCTTATACGTGGGACCAGCAGATGGTATAATGGTTACGTTGCTCAACTTCCACGTAGTCGACCCCGGTTCAAATCCCAGACCTGGTGGTTTAAACTCGTGCTGGGGGCATATGCATGTGTGCCCAAGATCCCGAGAAGAGACTGGAGAAGGGATTGTGGCATGGCCATCCCCCTGGGGGTGGGGGGAGGAGGCATGATTTCTCACTTTCTGTCTCTCCAGTTAGCACACCTGCCCTATAGAAAAAAATCTCTCATCAAAAAAAAATTTTTTTTCTACTTTAATTACATTCTCCATGAACTTTTGGGAAGTACTCTCATATCTGTGTGTCCATATATGCTTAGGGATTTTTGCAGGGTTTGTGTGTCAATATCAGATGTGATGGAATTTACTAATGACCTAAATTAATTCCTCTTCACCAATCAAGGCTTAATTCCTCCAGGTATGATTTGTGCACCGAGTACTTTTCGTGTAGTCATTGAAACTGTCTAACTCCCTGATCAGAGACGACCCGGACTGGAGCTGACCGAACCCAGTTGCCCTATTTGCAATGAAGCTGCTTCTCCAAGGTCACACTGCATTTCCTGCGGGGAAGCATTTTTAAACCGATTCTGGGTTTTAGCTAGAATCAAAGGAATGAAACTTGTTCTTACATAAACACAATTTGATGTCTCTGCACGTACACTGGAACCATACGACTGGCTTGTAAATATCCTCCCAGACAGCGCTGTAATTTTCCAGTTAGTTTCATAATACTCAGCGACACAACCAAGTGCATTTACACTGTACACCAGGATGCGGGGACCCCACAGAACACTAGAAATAACTCATTTCCCTCTTCTATTTATAGATGCTAAAGCGTAACATGCAGAGAAAAGTACCTAGGCACGATTTGTTTATAGACCTAAAACATTCCTGCGTAATGTCAGATAAAAGCAGACTGGAGTGTTTAATGTACCCATGTGTGTTCGAAGCTGGAAGGTTTTCATCAGCTCACCCAGGGCAGACACCTACCCCCTCACCATCTTCTGGACACACTCGGCGCTCACTTCAATTTTGCCGTGTTTTTCTTCCCATCACAGAAATGTACATTCATCCCCTATTTCTCTCTTAGTTAAGTCCTGGTTTAATTTTAACTGTCAGTTCCAAGCTCGTCTTCCAACACTGGCCTGCTCAGGCTGGTCTCTAAAATGCTCCAATTCCTGGCTCCCTCCAGAGAGGTAACTAGCTTGACCCTCAGGCCTGTCCAAGGCCCACACCTTGTCTCCCGAAGCCTCCCTCAACCCGTGTTCCTCCCGGACCTTCCATCTCTGGAGGCCGACTGGCCCACACTCGCACCTTTCTCGGTGGCCCCTGGCCAAGATGGCTCTTCAGTGCACTCTCACTCGGCCTAAGTCCCTCTTGCTTTTAAATGTTCTTAAATCCGATGTCAACGGAGAAGCCTTTTTACAACCACCTTTAACAAGGCCACCTGTGCTTCTCTTTGTAGTCATTAATTACTCCACCTGCTTGCGCTGAAGGTAGATATTTCATCCCTTTATGTTGTTTTTACTAACAGACTGACAAAGTTCTAGTCTCACAAGTCACCATCTAGTGCCATGAACAGAGGCCACTAAGCGGCACGCGGCGAGGATGGAGAACAGAGCCTCACTATCCTCCTTCGGTTTTCCTTACAAGAATTTTAAAAGCATTTACTTATGAAATAGGCATGTGTAGCTGGTCTTTTTTCCTACAGAGAACACCCTGGAATGTGCTCTGGAGCTGGAAAACACCTGCCGCGTGCCTGAGTCCTGACTGCGGTGTGCCTTGGGCTCAGGCGCAGAGAATGAGGCTGCGCTGAGCTGAGTTAGTGACCAGCGTCTCAGTGAAGGGTGGCCCCCTATGTGACTGAAGCCGCGTAACCTCAAGCAAACTCCTCCTTTATGTGAGAAGGCAGGCCGGTTCTTGCTCCCGCCTCCTCCTGCACCTGGAAGGTTGCTGTTCCCGCCCAATTTTCAGCGGCACAGAGAGGTCTTTTCACACAGTTATGTATAAACAGGTACCAGTTTTGATTTTATTTCATATTAACATACATGACACATCAAAATGAGAAATGCACAATTTATCCGTTCAACAGCTTGCCTTACCGTCAAGGAACACTATATTCATAGTAGGCATTTATACAGTCTTTCCACCTCACTTTACAAAAGTCCTAAACCAGGCTCCAGCATTTCTCACACACAAGTCTAGTTTTTCTCTAAAAATCACCATTCTGTATCATCCCAGTAGACTCCAGGGCTTCCCCGATGACCACGTACCGAAGGGCAGCCACCTCTGGCCCTGCACAGGCGGCCAGCAACCCCTCGGCTCATATCTGAGGCTGCCCCTCCAGCACGGTGGTCCTGACTCCGAGACTGATGATTTGACACTAGCGATCACGGACTACAGGCTGCAGTGTGCCACTACGCCACCGTGCCAGGAAGGCCGGGGACCACGGCTGGGGAGACCCTACGTGATGAAGGGCCAACTCGGCCCAGAGCTCGTGCTGAAGCCAAGTTCCCAACCCTGGGACACACGTAGCAATGGAATTACTGCTTTAATCTCTTCAAAGTGTTGGCAGATGTGACCAGACTCTGCAAATGGTGAACTGTCACACTTTTGGTGTGTCTGCATAACACACCCAGAATTACGGTGTGAAACCTTGAGAATGCTCAGATTACATTACAAATTTTAAAGGTCTATGTAAAAACAAACTCAGACCAGAACTTGTCCGAGATGGTAACAACGAAATTCCCACGCAGCGGGCTCTGGTTTGCCTTCGCTGGACACTCACACCCCACACATCTGCACATCCCCACGTGGACTTATGTCCGTGAAGCTCATGGTCCCCAAGACCACGTTGGTCAGCCGGGAATTCTGACACTCTGAGCTGGTTTTAGCAGTCACCACAGGAAACGTTAGGTCACACCCTAGCCGAAGGACTGTCCATTTCTCCAACAGAAAAACCTGAGATATGAGAGTCAGCAACAAACGACGCTTACAGTAAAGGAAAGGACGACGACAACGCCCACCACCCCACCCCGAGAGAGCTGCTGACTGAGTTAAGGCTTTAAAAGAGGACCACACCGTCGCGGATAAACGTAAGCCAGGAAGTTTCAAAGCAGAGATGTACTGTCGCCTCTTCACTCGCTCTGACGACCTCCTGTTTCAGCTGCCAGGACAGAGCCCGCACAGTGATCGCAGGCCGAGGATGGAGACACCACCGTGGCCTTGCGCCGTCTGCTGTGCTTCTACAAGAAGCGAGCTGGGACAGTTCTCCAGAAAGGCTGGCTGTGGCTGTCCAGAACACACAGCGAAGTGAGATTCAGCCACCTCCTCGGCACCTCCCTATTCTGTCTGTGACTCTCCCTTGCTTGCTAAAGCCTCTCTCAGTCCTACTGGTAAATCTGAAAGCCTGGGGAAATTATGGAAATACCACTTTATGGCAGGCCAAGAGGGGGGAAAGCTACCAAGGAAGTAAGTGTCCTGCTTCTCCTAAGCAATTTTACTTTCCTTCCTCTTCCAGTACCCCCCACCCGCCTTGTGCACATGCGCAAGGCAGTCTTCTGTAAGAGCCGGCCTGGTGGCTACATCGTCTATGCCGCGTCCACGCGAGGAAACAGATCTCCTCGGGCTGAGCCCTCGCAGGCGCTGCTGTTCTGCCACCGACCCGGATCATTTCACATTTGGCTTTAAACCGAGTTCATCTTTATTTAAAGGACTAACCATCCCATTTTAAACAATTCTTTGATTTGGGAAGAGGGAGGCAGACTCGTTTAGCCTCCCAACCTTAGCTTGAATCATGACGCTGCCAGATCCCCCCGCTTGCAAGTGGGATCCTAGACGGGTTCCCCCCACCTCTCTCCACAGAGCTGAGAAGAAAAGCGACCCCTCCCCATGCAGGTCCAACGGGAATTCTGTGCACACACAGTCTAAATCGGTCTGAAAAGTTGGCCTAGCTCCCTGCCTATTCACGATGCCTAGAAAACGGGCGACCAGACGCAGCAGTGGTGAGAGCCCCGACTCCCTGTCTGAGGTACTGGGTTCTAAAGCAGATCTTGGCAAGGCCCCCAATGGTGCGTCCAGCAGAATGATGCTCGCGTCACGTGGCTGCCAGGTGACCTTGGATTCGTGACTCCACTTTGGATCTGATCATTTCTCTTGGATTTACCATTAGGTTCTGTCCCTAAGAGGGTCCCCTCACCTGACCCGCAAGCTGGCTCAGTCTCGGCGCTAAGGTGCTCCAGGAAGGGGCTAGACAGAGACTAGTTCTTGACATCTCTTTGTGGCACATGGGAACCATAGGGGTTCCTGTCCTCTACTAACAAATTTGCTTTTGTAAGAACAAGAGGATGTGTAATTCACCAAATAAAATTCTAGCATCTGCCCTTCCACTTGTGTTGAGAGAAATACTAGCTGATCTCTCAAATGCAGACATTGAGAAAGAATGACTGTGTTGATCCATCTTTTGCTTTTACACCATAGCTCCATTTTCCAAAAATATATATGTATGTACATATATATATTTCAGATTTACAGGGAATATTTTTATGAACGAGAAGACAATTGTCAATGGAAGTCATGACGTCATCTTCTCAGGAGACCTCAATGACCTCCATGCTGCCTGAAAAACTAGACTGACTGCCCACTTTGCCCAGCTCTTCCCGTGACCTGTTCTCTGACATGATGCTCTCTCCAAATTCCATCTGGCAGCTCCTGCGCTTAAACTGCTTTTCAAAGGGGCTCTCTTCGTGCCAGCTCCGCCGCGAGTCTGCCCTGTCACTGGGCTTCTGCCGCCTGCGCACAGAGTAGACTTGGTCACTGCACGTGGGCAGCTGGCTACAGCTGTACGCAGGGTAACTGGCGTTGCCGCCATAGATGGCTGAGGCAGAGTAGAAGTGAGAGGACTCCGTGGCAAAATACCAACTATTGGTCAAGGAAGGGGTGGAGGTCTGGGGAGCCAAGATATCCGAGTGCCAGCCCTTGAGGCCCAGCCCAGCAGCGGACTTCGTGAGGTGTTGCTGGCTGGTGGAAAGGCCAAAGAGGAAGCCAGGGTGGTAATTGTCCTCCACACTCCCGCTCCGATGCAGTGGTGCTGGGAGGGCCCGCTGGGTGGCCCCACTGTTGCTGGTTCTTACTGAGTGTAAGCGCTTGCTCTGGCCCTCAGGAGGCCGGCTAGGCTGGGGCTTCGGGGGCATGTTGGCTTCCTCCGTATCTGGGCTGGTTTCTGGAGTCTGCTCTGATACTTCCTGAACTGGGGAGAACTGGCAGGGCTTGCTGGCCCCATCCAGCGTGGTGGAAGGTTTGTAGAATTCCAAAGCATCTTCTGATGAGGAGAAACCGTGTAAGGATGCCGCCACGCTGGCGGAATATGAGACTGATTTGATGTCCAGGGAGAAGGAACGCTTGAGCTTATTGCTGTCTTCCAGCTTGTCTGAGGACAGGTGGAGCCCGCCGAGTGCCTGTACCAGGGGACTGTCCTCCAGCAGGGGTGGCTGGATGCTGGGCACACCAGCAGTGTGCACAGGCCTCGGCCCTGCTGCCTCTGAGGTAGCAGAGTTGGTGCAGGGTGGACTGAGGGGTGTCTCGCTTTTCTGTCCACCCTCTGAGGCTGTAGGGACAGGTTCATTTGGCTTCTCCAGGTGCAGCAGCTTGAGTTTGCTCTTTGGCCCTGACGCGCCAGTCTGGTTCCTAATCTTCCTCTCGTAGTCTAGGAGTTGGCCCAGAAAATTGAAGTTCGGAGATATGGTAGGTCTTTTTTCTTTTACAAATCTATGAAGAGAGGAAAAAGAAGAGGAAACCTCGATTTTACTACTGTTACGGTGTGAACGATGGTTTGGACCCCAAGGTTTCATGACGTGAAATTAGATGTTGAGAAGTGGTGAGGCCTAGGAGGCTCGGGCGCCATGAGGACTGCATCACGGAGGCAAAGGTCTCATGAACACATCAGTGATGTCTTATGAGACCCAGTGAGTTCTAGCTCTCCTGAAAAGAGGCTGGTTCTCAGGACAGCTGGTTGTTATTCTTTTTGTAAAGAATTATTCAGCTTTGTTTATTATTATTGTTTTTTTATTTGCTATAGGGCACATGCACTCACCAGAGAGAGAAAGGGGGAGAGAGTGAGAAAGCAAGTCACCTGGTCCTGGACTCAAACGGTGGTCAGCCATGTGGGAGTTCAGTGCCTTAACCATCCCACCTGCTGGCTCCAAGAGCTAGTTGTTACTAAAGAGCAAGCTTCTGACAGCTCTCCCTGCACATGCCAGCCATCCTCGATGTGTCTGACAGCTACGATGTAGGCCTAGGCCCTGGACTTGCCAGTCACTAGAATTGTGAGTCAAAATCAACCCCTACTCTGGGGTCTGCAGGTAGCATGGTGGTTAAGGTGCTAGATTCCCACATGACTGACTCTGGTTCAAGTCCCAGACCTGGTAGCTTGAAAATCACTCTGGGCACGTGTGCATGCATGCCCAAAGTTCTGAGAGAAGAACGGAGGGAAGGGATTGCAGTATAGCCATCCCCCTAGAAGATGATTTTCCACTCACCCCCTCCTCTCCAGTGAGTCCATGTGCCCTATGACAGAGACTGAAAGATAAGTAAACAAACAAACCCCTATTCTTTTACATTCATCTACTCTCAGGTATTTTTGTTAGCAATGCAAAAACAGACTCACTATAGCTAAACATATACTAACTATACCAAAGACAACGATACCTAAGAATATTAAGTGAGTATTTAATATGGGAATTATGAGGGAGGCTGGGCACACAAGCAGTGTGCACAGGCCTCGGCCTTGCTGCCTCTGAGGTAGCAGAGTTGGTGCAGGGTGGACTGAGGGGTGTCTCGCTTTTCTGTCCACCCTCTGAGGCTGTAGGGACAGGTTCATTTGGCTTCTCCAGGTGCAGCAGCTTGAGTTTGCTCTTTGGCCCTGACGCGCCAGTCTGGTTCCTAATCTTCCTCTCGTAGTCTAGGAGTTGGCCCAGAAAATTGAAGTTCGGAGATATGGTAGGTCTTTTTTCTTTTACAAATCTATGAAGAGAGGAAAAAGAAGAGGAAACCTCGATTTTACTACTGTTACGGTGTGAACGATGGTTTGGACCCCAAGGTTTCATGACGTGAAATTAGATGTTGAGAAGTGGTGAGGCCTAGGAGGCTCGGGCGCCATGAGGACTGCATCACGGAGGCAAAGGTCTCATGAACACATCAGTGATGTCTTATGAGACCCAGTGAGTTCTAGCTCTCCTGAAAAGAGGCTGGTTCTCAGGACAGCTGGTTGTTATTCTTTTTGTAAAGAATTATTCAGCTTTGTTTATTATTATTGTTTTTTTATTTGCTATAGGGCACATGCACTCACCAGAGAGAGAAAGGGGGAGAGAGTGAGAAAGCAAGTCACCTGGTCCTGGACTCAAACGGTGGTCAGCCATGTGGGAGTTCAGTGCCTTAACCATCCCACCTGCTGGCTCCAAGAGCTAGTTGTTACTAAAGAGCAAGCTTCTGACAGCTCTCCCTGCACATGCCAGCCATCCTCGATGTGTCTGACAGCTACGATGTAGGCCTAGGCCCTGGACTTGCCAGTCACTAGAATTGTGAGTCAAAATCAACCCCTACTCTGGGGTCTGCAGGTAGCATGGTGGTTAAGGTGCTAGATTCCCACATGACTGACTCTGGTTCAAGTCCCAGACCTGGTAGCTTGAAAATCACTCTGGGCACGTGTGCATGCATGCCCAAAGTTCTGAGAGAAGAACGGAGGGAAGGGATTGCAGTATAGCCATCCCCCTAGAAGATGATTTTCCACTCACCCCCTCCTCTCCAGTGAGTCCATGTGCCCTATGACAGAGACTGAAAGATAAGTAAACAAACAAACCCCTATTCTTTTACATTCATCTACTCTCAGGTATTTTTGTTAGCAATGCAAAAACAGACTCACTATAGCTAAACATATACTAACTATACCAAAGACAACGATACCTAAGAATATTAAGTGAGTATTTAATATGGGAATTATGAAAGACCAAGTACCTTCAGGAGACAATTGGTTTAAAAGTCTGAGCAGCTGCCTCACAGTGAAGAGTACAAAGAATGCTTTGTTGGGAAGCCTCACGGCATGACCCTGGAAATACTAGAGAGGGGACCAGACCCCCAGTGCTCTCGCTTTGGTCACCTTACTTCAAGGAGCAAAGGTCTCCAATGCCATTGACAGGGGCTGAGTCTTGGCTCACCACCTCGGCCTCAAAACACACATGCAACAATGCTGCCATCAGAAGTCCGGCAGAACGCACACTCTCCTGCTTCAACTTCCCAATGTGTTTTCCATGATCCAACCTCCACCTGAAGTCCCCACAGCCACCTCTCAAGAAATTCCACATTTCAAATGAGTGATTAAAAAAAGGTGACTGTTGGTTTCAAAGCACATATTCTGAGTTTCTTCTTTATTTTTACTCAACATGACAGAACGACCAGCTATGACGTAGTCTCTGCATGCTAAGCACTGTGCTAAAGCTTTGAAATATTTAATCCTCAAGACTACCCTTTATCAGGTGGGTGTAATTATCCCCCATCATGCAGAACAGTCCTTAGGTAGCCTGTCCAAACTCACACAGCTACTAAATGATGGGGCTGGGATTCACTACCAACCCTAACACTGGCTTGGTGTGTCAAGAGTCGTCAAGATTCATCAAAGGTGCAGAATTAACGATGGGCCAGCCACGGTAGTGTGCACTGCTCAGGTGCAGCTCTCCACAACCGGAGGCTACATAGGAGGCCCAGGACCAGTTCCAGGTCCCACCTAAAGGCCTATAATCCCAGCATCTCAGGAAGGCTGAGGTGCGAGGATCACTCTGGCTGAGCAACGGAGTGAGTCCTTGTCTGAAAAACTGTCAGGTGTGGTGGTAACATCTACAACCCCAGCTGATAGGCAGCCTTTGTGTTTCCTTGAAGAAACAAATACTCTTAGAGATTACAGACAAATCTGTCCACGGTCCATGAATCTCACGGCACTCTTCAGATAACATAAGAGTAAAAAAACTACACTGAAAATCGGTATTTGGAAAAGGAAGGAGAGTGATTGCTTCGGCAGCATAGATACTAAAATAGGAATGATACAGAGAAGGTTAGCATGGCCCCTGTGCAAGGCTGATACACACATTTGTGAAGTGCTCCGTATGTATTTTTTTTTAGAGGTTTTTGCTATAGGGCACGTACACTCACCAGAAAGAGAGAGAGAGACAGAGAGACAGAACGTGAGAAATCACCCCCCAGGGGGTATGTTCATGCTGCAGTCCCTTCTCCTCCATTCTCCTCTCAGGATGTTGGGTATGCACACACATGCACCAGTGTTGAGTTTAAGCCACCGGGCCTGGGACTCGAACTGTAGTCGACTACATGAGAGTCCAGCGACATGGCCATTACGCCAACTGCTGGCCCCAGTGTTTCATATTTTTAATAAGAATACAAAAAACAGTCAAGAAAATGGCCACCCTAATGGTAGGGCCAAGTGTGGAAACATCAATATTAACGTTGAATATTAACTTCCAGGATTTGAATGGGAAGAGCAGATCACAGTAACACTGCAAATTCAACAAAAGAGAGATTACATGAGACTGAACTGATGAAATGGAATTCTATGATTTTTGACTAAAACATTACTGATTCTCTTCTATGCTTTGTCTTCCAAACTTAAAGATTTTTGTTTTCTTTTGAGTTGTTGATAGGCTCAGCAATTTGTTAAATTCCTTTTTTTTTAAAATTGAAACAAACTTTTCTCCCTTCCTGACCCCTCTGCAATTAGAAAATATTTGTGGACATTCTTATTTTATGGCAGAATGGTTATTTACATAAATTCAATAATACAATAGTATCTGTTGCCTTGCATCAGAAATTGAATTCTTATGGGGCTTTGTGAAATAACAGACCAAATTGAGACTAAACTTTTTTTTTTTTTTTTTCAAATAAGTTAGTTTATACCTTTCTTAAGTAAAAGGGGGTATGGAGAGCAGAAAAAATGTCTCAGAAGAAAATGACAGTGTACTTTTCACTAGATTTAAGCTTTGTCTCTATTTTTAGTTTAATTAAGATCTTTTGTGAAACAAAATGTGAAAAAGTGTTTAGCATGGGAGCGAGGGAAAGGGGGAAGAAAAAAGTGAAAGTACATTTAATTGACAAAAAATGAGACACTATTTGCAGATGATAATGTATATAGTAATTATCTTTGTCTTGACTGATATGCATGGTATTCGTGCAGGAAAAAGAAATGTACACTGTGAAGATATATGTCATTAAATGTAAATTTAAAAAAGAGGAAAAAAGAACAAAAAAGAAAAAAGGAGAAAAATAAAGTTCATGGAAATCAATTCATCTAAAGCAAAGTAATAAAGCAGCAATAACTGGCTGCAAATATAACAAGCATAAGTGCAGGGCCCTCACGACAGGACAGCTCTGCATGGCGAGGACCACGTTAGGGAGGAAAGCTGAGCAGAGGGCCCCCCTCCTCCGGTCTCCTCCTCCTCAAAGCTCTTGAGGTAGGTTGTTTCTTTTTTCCAAGTTTTCTACTTTCAGAAAAGAGTCCAGTTGTTGAGATAGGCTTCCTCTGTGTGTCTGTATTTTTCATTTTATATCACCTGACAACTAACCACCTCCACCTAGCCCACATACGGGACTCAGATTTACCAGTCACTAAGCGCAACTCTAGTTCTTAGAGGTATTTCCACTTGCCTGCCTTCTACTCTGAGAAACGGAGCAGGGGGCAACCCAGCCAGAATTACACACTGCAAACTCAGGTCAACTCCACATGTACGCGGTTTCCCTTAGCGAATGGGATTTGCTAGTTATGTGGCTTTACGCTTGGACATAGTAGGCCTTTTCCCCACAGCAACATGAAGTTTGAAGCAGAGTAGGGATTCCATAATGAGCATTCTACTGGGGCTTTTTTCCCTCCTCTATCATTCAGAACACCATAGTTACTTAATGTGAGAAAGACACAGCCTCCCATAACGAGATAGAGATACCTGCCTGAATTTGCTGTTACCTAAACTCAAAAAGTAGCTGAGGATGAATATGGCATATGATAGGGCAGAATTCATGCTAAATAATAAAACTGCATTCTTGGGCTACCAGGTGGCGTGGAAGTTGAGGCAGCTGGATCCCACATGTCTGACCTTGTGGTTTGAGTTTTGGATCTAACAGCTTGTAAATCATGCCAGACGCTTGTATGTTCGTGCCTAAAGTCCTGAGAGGAGAACGAAGGACAAAGTACTACAGTGTAGCCACCCCAGTCCAGGGAGTTATTTCTCACTTTTTATCTTTCTTTCTCTCTCTCTCTCTCCTCCCCACCCCGGGTCCCCTGTCTCTCTCTGGTGTACATACACATCCTATGGCAAAAGCAAACAAAAAAAGGGAATTCTTTCCCAATCTTTTTGAGACTAATTAACAATCTACAGCTCTCAAGGCCAGCAGGTGGTGTAGTGGTTAAGGTGCTGGACTCTTACATGGCCGACTGCAGTTCAAATCGCAGACCTGGTGGTGGCTTGCAACTCATGGTGGGCATGTGCATGTGCATGCACAAAATCCTGAGAATGGAGGAGAAGGGATTGTGGAATGGCTATTTCCTCTGGGGGAGGAGTATGATTTCTCACTTTCTGTCTCTGTCTCTTAGGTGAGCACATGCACTATAACAAAAACTCCTCAAAATAAATGAATGAAGGAAGGAAGGAAGGAATGAAAATCCACAGCTCCATATAGAGTGTGACTAAAATAATCATGACTGGCTTCAGTCTGGTCTCCCACCCCATGTCTCTTCATGTGTCAGATCAAATGAAAAGCCAGCACACATAAGCTGTGCACCTGCCCTCACCTGTAGGCTTCATCTAACGACATGTCCATCCTCTTCATTATGTAGGCGATGGCAATGGTGGCGGAGCGTGAGATCCCCGCTAGGCAGTGCACTAGGACACACCCATTGGAGGCTTTTGCTTTCTCTGTGGAAGTTAAATTCAAGAAAGGTCACTCATAGCAACTGTGTTCATCAGTGAAATCATGTTTCCATTTATACCTGAAAACATCCAAGTCTCACCTATTCACACCAAATTTATCTTTTCAATAGTCTTTTCTCTTATCATTCATTTATTTTTACATTTTCCCACAAACATTTACTTTATATATCAAAACATTTTTGCTCATACTCCATAGTTCTTGACAGCTAAACAACTTGCAAGATTTTGAAAAACTAAATTTTAAAGATAATGTTCAAAATATTTGTTATAATTTTGTGACTCTATAACAGCAGAGACAGTATGGTTTTAAATATTTTTGAGAAAATATTTATATGTCAACTACTTAAACTGTTGAAAAGCAAACACCCAGCTCACAAGTCACACATACACCTTCTCAATTCAGCCCTGCCTACTAAATATTCTGTGATATCCCATCTGCTAGCAAAGATCAATCTCATTTTCTTCCTTCACAGTCTTCCTCAAGATAATCCTCTGGTTGTAGCTGCTCTTTTGCAATCTCTACTGATTACAATGCTGGGCTGGAAAAGTCTAAGTTATTTTACGGTACAAATTCTTTCATATAGCTTCTCTAATTCTCTCTGCCAGGCAGAACTGTTTATGGTGCTAGGCCATCTTTTCAAGAGCTTCTGTTAGCTTACTTGAAATTTACCTTAGTTCCATAGTTTTCTGGTTTAATCTTCAGATATGACATTCCAGTCAAAGCCCTGTCCAATAACGAATATTTCCAATTTCTGATTCAAGGCAACAGGTATTATTGAACTTATGCAAATAACCCTTCTGCCACAAAATAAGAATACTCCCAAATATTTTCCAATTCCAGAGGGGTCAGGATGGGAGAAAAGTTTATATGTCCAATTTGAAGAAACAAACAAACAAGAAGAAAAAACATTTCAAAAAATTGCTGAACCTATCAACAACTCAATAGAAAGCAAAATCCTTAATTTGGGAAAACAAAGCATAGTAAAAAAAAAAATCAGTACTGTTTCACTCAAAAGTCATAAAATTCTATTTCACTAGTTCAGTCTTATGTAATTAACATCTCTTCTGTTGAATCTGCAGTGTGAATCTGTTGAATCTGTGGTCCGATCCTTCTGTTTAAATCTGGAAGTTAACATTCAACATTATTATTGATATTCCTTGTCCTCAGCATTAAGTTGAACATTTTCTTGGTTGCTTTTTGTTCTCTTATTCTTTAACTGCTGGTCCCTCTCTTGGTTGTTTTTTGTACTCTCATTTCTGTGTGTCCGACTTTAGTTTTTCTGGTATATCACTCCCCTCAGCCCTTCTCGGAAACAAATATAGTATTCTTGGGTGGGTATAGTATTGCTGGGTATAGTATTCTTGACTGATATTGTTTTTCACTTAACACTTTGAATACATTTTCCCATTCTTTCCTTGTTCCCATTGTTTCTGATGAGAGGTCTGATGTTAGACTGATGGGAGAACCTTTATAAGTAACCTGACATTTCTCTCTTGCCAATTTTAGTATCTTGTCTTTGTCTGTGGATTTGGCCAATCTGGCTATGATATGCCTTGGAGAAGATCTTCTTGGGTTGATTCTATGTGAGGTCCTTTGTATTTCTTGGGTCTGGATATTTTTGAATGCCTCTCTAGGTTTGGAAAGTTTTCTTCCAGGATTTCGTGGAATAGATTATCAATGCCCTTATTAGTTTCTTCATGTTCTGGGATACCAATTATCCAGATGTTTGGGTGCTTAATGGTATCTAGTATTTCTCATATAGTATTCTCATTTTTTTGTTGTTATTTTCTCAGTTTTTTTTTTCTAGGTCAGAGTTTTGCCTTCAACATCAGATATTTGATATTCTGCATAGATCACTCTGCTTTTAATACTTTCGAGGGAGGTTTTGATTTCCTGCATTGCAGCCTTTATCTCTAACAGCTCCATTGATACTTTCTTATAGTGTGTATTTCCTCTTTCAGATCATGCAAGAACTTCCTTCCTGGAACTCATCTCTTTTCTCCTTCATCTTCTGGAGTTCATCGTCTCTCGGATCTTGCATCTTGTTTAGTTTTGTCATTATGAATATTCTGAATTCTCTATCGGACGTTTCCACGAATTCCACCGTACTGTCTGTGGATGATGAAGGATTGCTCTTTTCTCTTAGGGGAGGGATATTTTCTTGGTTTCTCATATTTTTTTCTTTCTTTTTTTCTTTTTCTTTAAAGAAATCTTTTATTTGGTACATTTGAGGTTTACAAAGTGTTGAGATAAATACAGCTACATACAGATTAACATAATTTTTTTTCATTTGTGTGGTAAAAGAAGCTAAAATCTATTACACAAAATCTTACCTATTTCTTAATCTATTTTTTCATTTTTTGATCAATTAAATGGTTTTTCCCTGTTCCTCTCCTTCCCTATTACCTACCCCCCTATTATCCAACACCCTATATCATCTCTAGTACCTACAGTTGTCCTCCCTGTTATGATACCTTCCAATCTTTCAGTTTCTGTTCTTTCCTAAGTAAAAAATAATTTTTTTGTTTCAATAGATCTTTTTGGACCAGCCCTTGGCCTAGTGGTTAAGGCAGCTGAATCCCGCACAGCTGACCCTGCAGCCTGTGAAACATGCACAGAAAGAAAAATGGAGAGAAGACTGCTGTGGCATGACCATGCCCCATGGGAGATGCTTTCAATTTTCTCCCACCTATCACATACACACCCACTTGGCAAAATTTTAAAAGGAAAAAAAAATACTGATAGATCTTTCATATTTGTTTATTTACTTCCGCTGTCACCCTTAACTCTTCCTTTCCTTCTAAGTTTGGTATGTGCTTCATTTGCTAGCTCCTTGAGGTGCATTGTTAGGTTATCTGAAACCTTTCTACTTCTTAAATGAAGGTGTTTATTGCTATAAACTTCCTTCTTAGCATGGTGTTTGCTGTACCCCATAAGTTTCCCTGTGTTGTGTTCTCATTTTCACTTGTTTTGAGAAATATTTAAATTTCCTACTTAAGCCCTTCATTGGCCCAGTGTTCCAAGAGCATGATATTTAATCCCATATATCTTTACAGCTTCCTAAGTCCCTCTTTCTACTTTCTATTTTGATCCACTGTAGTCAGAAAAAGTACTTGATACAGATTTTAAAATTTTTGTTAAGGCTTATTTTGTAGCCTTACATATAGTCTATCCTGGAGAATGCTCTAGGGTGTTGATGAGCATGTATCCTGCATCTGCTGAATGAAATGTTTTATAAATGCCAAATTAAGTCCATTTGGTTTAACTCAGATTCTTAATTCTCTATTTAGCCAGATTGCACAATGCATTTGCAGGAGACAGAGAGAGGGAAAACAAGAAGCACTCCAAATGAGAGAATGATTATTCTGCAATTCTTTCTCCATCTCTCCCTCCTTTTGGGCATGCATACATACACACATGCTAGCATGTTTCTTGGGCTACTGGGTCTGAGGCTCTAACCAGATGGTTGACCATATAGAATCCAGCTGCCTTAACCACCAGGGAATGAGATAGCCCAATTCAGACTTTATCAAGGGTTTCCTATCTAGATGATCTCTCTAGTCCTGGGAATGGGGTGTCTATCTCTCCCCTTTGGATCCTGTAATATATGTTTTATATATTTGAGTGTATATGTAATTACCATCATTAAGTCATCTTGCCAAGTTGATTCTTGTATCATCATATAATGACTTCATTTCTACAAGAGACAGTAGGGTGGTGTGTGTTCATCAGAAAGAGCACACATCCCCCAATGGGGCATTATCACTCCATTTCCACATCTTGTCACAATATGGGGCACACAAGGCTGGAATGTTTGTCAAGCCAATAGGGCTAGGATTTAAACCAGTCATGTGAGACCTGACTGCTTTAACCATGAGGCTATGGGTCCATTTCTCTTTTTACAAACTTTTTATTTAAAAGTCTATTTTATCTGACACAACAAATCCTGCTTACTTTTGGTTTCCATTTCCATAAAACACTTTTCATTCTTTCACTTTCTGTTAATAAGTCATTATTACTGAAGTAAGATTTTTATGAAGTATACAGTTTGTCTTATATTTTTAAATCTATTCCACAAGTATATATCTAACCTGTTTACATTCAACTAATGAGGATTTTTTCCTATCATTTCATATTTTCTAATTTTGTATTTCACTTATTCCTTCATGTTAACTTTGTGATTTGATGATTTTCTCTACAGTTAAGGATTTTCTTTCTCACTTGTGTATATTCCCAGTGAGTTTTATACTTTCATGTGCTTCATTTATGATGGCAGTTATCCTTTTACTTCCAGATGTAGCACTTCCTTAAGCATTTCTTGTAAATCTGGTCTTGTGGAGACACATTTCCTCAGTTTTTGCTTGTCTGGGAAAGACTATTTTTCCTTCGCTTCTGAAGGACAGCTCTGCTGGATCAGGTATTCTTGGCTGAAGTTTTTTTCTTTCAATACTTTGAATATATCATGCCATTCTCTTCTGGCTAGTAAGGTTTCTAGAGAGAAATCTGCTGTTAGTCTAATGGGAATTCCCTTATATGTGACTTGTCCCTTTTCTCTTGTGGCTTTTAGAATTCTCTCCTTGTATTTACATTTTGATAGTTTCACTATAATGTGCCTTGGAGAGGGTCTTTTTGGGTTCAATCTTTTTGGGGGACCTTTGAGCTTCCTGAATCTGGATGTGCATCTCTCTCCCAAGACATGTGAAGTTTTCAGCTATTATTTCATGACATAATATTTCTATGTCTTTTCCTGTCTCTTCTCCTTCTGGAACTCACATATCACAAATATTTGTTCATTTAATACTGTCCCATATGTCCTGTATTCTTTTTTCTGTTTTTCTCTCTGACTGGATTATTTCAAATGACTTGTCTTCAAGTTTGGAAATTATTTCCTCTGCTTGAGAAAGTCTATCATTAAAGCGCCTGAAGTGTTCATTCTTTTTTTCTGTTTTTCTCTCTGGCTTTATTATTTCAAATGACTTGTCTT